ACGCGTTCGGATTTTGTGTGACTTTTTACGGGGTGGCGGTAATGTAATGTTGTATCGTTTTACAAAGTTAGATAAAAATGACTTTTTCAATCGTCGAAAGTCTGATAATATAGGACGGTGTTGTGGTCTGGTTTCTTTATTCATGTCTCTATTTATATATAGGGTTTTATTTACTTCACTTTTTTCAAAGCTCCAGTTCTTTTCTTTGACATCTCTATTTAATAAATACTATTTACTTAAGCCTGTTACAAATTTATTTCATTTTTTCTCAAAGCTTCCGGTGAGACACAGTTTCAACCGAGACTGGGGAAGCCCTGGGGAGTTCCCCTTTTTAGTTTGGGGTCACGAGGTCTGGACAGGGAATTCCCTGTTTGGTTTGGGAGTTGCAAGCAACTTGCTTTGGATTGGCAATTCAACGTTCACGATACTGTCAACTTGATGGCATTCCTTGATGGCAATCTTGAGCTGCTCGATCAAGAAAGTCCTTCTCTCCGGAGTACTTTCCACAAAGCAATTGGGAATGTCAATTAATGTGTCAGCTGGCCGCCATTCATCATATTCTGCAGATTTTCATTCCTCGTCTGTGTAGTGGACCTTTACAAAAAGTTTGTCCTGAACAAATTTAGAATCCACAACCACCAAACTGTAGAGTTTAGTTGTTGACCAAGACTTTTTCGGTAGGCCTACCCGATCTGTTGGCAAAGATGGTCCACTATTCAATACCCGGTAATCCATTCGAGCTTCTCAAATTGCTGTATGGAAATAACCTATCGAAACAATAACAAGAAATTAAACAATCATAGGCATAGGCCTAAATCGCTCAGCAAGTTCACTATCAAAAACAGAAAGGAAAATATTGGGGTTTGTATAGTTATCATGGCTACTTTAAAGTAAACATCATAAAATCTCACCTCTTCATACACAGCAAGTGCAAGTACATTTGTACATGTAGGCCTATGCCACACGTACATCCCACGCTGGCACTGCACGTATCACCCCTCTACATGAGATGAACTGATCCGTGCGATCCGGTTGGCGTTTTCGGTTTAAAAAAGAGGCTAATATTGTACCAAAACGAAGTCTAGCAGGTTTACAAAAAGACCTACACGGAGCAGAAAGTATTCTTGTCATTAGCAATATGTGTAAAAACGGCTGATATGGATCAGAACATCAAAAACGATACGAGAATAGTACACATGGATCGTTTGGCAAGTAAAAGGCTTCTGCGAAAGCGTGTCATGGGCAACTCTGGTGCCAGTCGCCAGTCTAGTGCACACCACGTACGCAAGTGCCGCAGTTGCAACAGATCCGTTGACCGGACTATAAATGAACAGCAGGTCGAACCTCAGAACAAAAACGATGTCTAATTTGACAAGAAAAGTGCCCCTGGCTCTTCTCAACCAATCAAAATGACTTTTACATGAAAGGAAAGCTGATTGTCTTCTCTTTCAGAAACCGTGCAAGGCAAATGTGTACGGCCGGATTCACGCGTTTGCTGTTCGAAGAAGTAAATCCGCACCCTCAAAAAACGGGAAAATGTGCCGTGACCTACATAGGAAACGCGAAATTTTCACTGAGTTGCCTCTTTTTCAATGGAAAAGTGCACATTATTATTTGCATTTAATCATGAAAAATGATATTCATGTGAAAGAGAAAAATCTGTATATTGTGTTGCGATGCGAGGAGGTAAGTTTAATCAACATACTTTCCTCATATTAACGAAAGTTTGCTCAAAGCACGAAACATGAGCCAGTCTTCCCACGTAAACAGAGCTCCACGAGTGGTTGGCTCTGCCTCTTCATTGTCCAAAAGAGTGTTTCGACTACTTTCGCTATAACAAAAATCGCTGACTCTCACTACAAATCTAGTGACCTTTCATCAGATAATGTCTAGAATTAAAATCAATGTCAGGGCACAAACTGGTCTGTTATTACCACTGGAATGAAATCTAAAATAAGGTTGTAAGCTTGTGGCCCCCGGAAGGAACGACGTCAAAATAACTTCGTTTTAGAAAACTGCATAACTCTCGACTTTACGAAATGATAATTTAAGTCGGCTTAAAGAGAGTGTGTTGTGTTTTTTCGCCTTTACGAGGTACGTTATATATTCAGTTATATGAACTTTACATCTCGATTTCCATTTCCATTCAGGAAGCTGTTCTTCCCAATGAGGAAATACTAAATAGAATTTCTTTATACATTCCTAAACTGTTCTAGAAGCAAAAACTGATAAGTTCTCTTTAAGAGATATGTAATACTGCTGCAAACTGCTTGCTGCTCAGATGTCAGATTAAAGATAGCATTGTGTTATAATATCTTGAGACCTAAAACATAGACCAAAAAATAAGGAGAGCCTGACGTTTCGATCCTAGCAGAATCTTTCTCAAAGGCAAAATAACAAGTGTACAGTATCAACAAACTATCAAACGGGGACATGGACGAATGCAGGAGGATAAACAGAAAGGTCAAGAAAGCTGCAGGTTGGATAAGGGGCAAGGAGGGGACTGCATGAATAGGTCAACACGTCCCCTGGCCCACTCATCCCTTACTGATTCCGCCCCTTACTGACACGCCCCCCGACAAACTCTCCTCCTGACCAAGTCATCATTTCAGAGGATAGTCCGCTGGTTTGGACCCTTAACTACATTTCCTAATGTGTATCTCGCCGCAGTGAATTATAAGATCTCCCCGCGGCATCAAATTGATATCCCACCGCAGCGAAATAGTTTCGTAAGTCCTATTCAACGTGCCGTTTTCAAGTGTATCTTTAAGCCTAAAGTGAAATGCAGTGAGATTTGGTTTTAGATTGCTAATTGGAACAAAAGGGGACATTTTTCATCCAAGCTTGATTTCCAACACAAAAGAAAACAATGAAAATCGAGCCTCTTCCAGCATTTTTAACTAGCCCCCCTCGCAAAAAAAAAACTTCTGGCGACGCTTATGCATATTTTAAGCCAGTGTGTGTTGCCATTTAAAACCAAACCTCGATACTGATATCATTCTAACTCTGCTATGAATTAGGAGATTTCAGCAGGCAAAAGAAAAATGAAGTGAAGGTGAAAGGGGACTAACACACATTTTTTCATCAACTGGATTGAAATCTTCAGTCTCTTTGACCTCACATCCATACGTTCACTTGTCAAAAACAACCCACACAGCGCAGGGCGCTGGGAAGGACAAATGCATAACATCCTGTTTTGTCAAGAACTTATTGGATGGAGTCTATGTTAACATCAGACCACGGGACAACACTTCCGCTCGATGCGCATGACATGTGTGTGCTTACACTACATGTACTCGTTTATTGGTTTGCGCGCCCAAAAGCTGCGAGGTATTTCATTCATTGTGTTTGTAAAGGTACTTTTTTGATCTCCATTTCAAGTACTATAAAAATTAATAAATTTCAACTGATGAAAGTTCAAATGTTACTTTCAAGTCCGCTTGCTTCTGTTTGGCACTTGCAGAATGTTGGAAGGAATTAAAAACAAGCTAATGAAATTATGAAAAATTATTGAGAGATTCTGAAATGCATTCTTGCTTGTGCTTTATTCCTCCTCTCTGCAAAATAATCAACGACAATCATCATAGCCTCAACACTTCATCAGACCGCCATAAACTTGCCAGTGCCATCCCAGACACCCCACTTGTGACCTACAAGCGTCCCCGCAAACCTACGGGACCTTATCGTTCGGGCAGAGGTGCCCCTTGGATACCCTCCCCGTCCCAGCAGGGCACCTTCAAGTGCGAATATAACAGGTGTGTTGTTTGCCAGAACCGCGTGTCCTGGAATCAGATACATTCTCTGGACACTCCTCCGGTACCAGTCATAGAACCAAGGATGCTATCACTTTTAGCTCTTCTGATGTCATATCTTATCTCTTGCAGGGTGTGCAGTGTTCAGTATGTCGGACAGATTAAGAACACTCACAAGAAGCTTTTCTATTGCCACAGCTCTACTGTCAACATCAAACGGCTAGATACCCACTGTGGGCCACCACTTCGACCTTCCTAACCATTTTATATCTGACATGATCTTAAAGGACATAAGATCACTTGGGCGCCGCAAAGATGCTATTCGCTTCATCAGGGAGGAGCTTTTGATCAAACGCCTTCGCACCATACATCCCCATAGCCAGAACATCCAAGAGGGAAATTACTATAGTAACACTCTTTGCTTTCCCTCTCTATACCCCCCCTCCCACTTGGGGTCCAGTTCGTTCCATTGTATTTTTTCTTTGATCTCTTCCCACCTTACATTCCTTTGTTGTTCAACCATGTCTTTATGCAGTCTCCTTTACCCCTTGTTCCTTTATCCAGCCTGCAGCTTTCTTGACCTTTCGTTTTGTCCTACCTTCGTCCATACTTGGTTGATTCCCCGTTTGTTGGTTTGTCCTGTCCACTTATCATTTTGCCTTTGAAAAGGATTCTGCTAGGATCGAAACGTCAGACCCTCGACTTTGAGGAAAATGACTTTGAGGAGTCGTTGCCTTACTTTGCAACAATCAGCCATCTATAGCCTAGATGCTTGGAAAGGCAAATCAACCACTGTATTTCCTCCATATTACGCAGGTCATTGGAAGTAGACTGAGACATAATATTTGTTTTGATTGTGATTTAATTGGTACTTATGTTTTGTTGCGTTGTTTGGTTAGTTTTAATTATTAAAAATTTCAGTATAGACAATAAAGATTCATTAAAACCCACTATTAAAGAAGAATGTTTAGATCAGTGTTCAAAAAGGAATTCAGTCTACTGGCTCTTGGAGATCTCTGGTGTTTATAATTGATCGAGGTCAATAAACTAAGAAATTTTGATTGTCGCAAAATTCTAGCTCCAACCAAAGTGCCAAAGAAAAAAACAATCATTGGGGACTGGTTGAGCCCACTGATGACTAGCCCTCCTGGGATGAAATTAACCAAACACCATCAAATTGAACACGATAACGCAGAAAGCTAAATATACTTATCACTTCATGGACTTTGCATTAAATGCTTTGCATAGACCGAAGTCCAGAAGGTGTGGACTAACTGTGCAGCAACGTATCAAGAGGACACCTTTGTACCCCTCGGCTCACATCATCAACTCACTAACAGTAACTGATCATGAAGACGGCTTCTCAGTGGAATATGCGCTTCCACTTGAAGGGTAACAGGAATAGTTGGTGGGGTGGTGACCGAGTTGGCATGCGGACGTCCCTACCCAAGCCAAGATTCTCCTGCGTTAGCGTTTGTCGTTACACCGTTCTGCGTGTTAAACGGGTATTGTTGAGTCCTGTTTGCCGAGCAGTTCTCTTGATGTTTGTCGTGGTGGTCGTAATGACCTCGGCCGTATTCAGCCCATCAGGTATTCAAGCCCACAGTTACAAGCTAAAGGGTACACAACAAGTCTTTCGTTCCTGTGTTCCATCCCTAATGACCAGCCAAACGTCAACGAGAAATGGCACTGTGAGGTGAGACCTTTTGTAGCATGTGTTATGTAGTGAAACTGGTTCGATGAGACTAAATTGTGGCGGTACATCAATTGAATTTTGTGGGAAGTCTGTATGAATCCATTTTCTAAGTTGTCAAATGAATTTTCGATTTTTTCAATAAGACACAAACTAAACTTGCAAGTTGCACTCAGAATTTTTCAAAAATTTCCCAAACACTGAGAACCCCTGATTGCTTATACATGTACCTTTATGGTCATTTGCGCTGATATGTTTTAAGGGCAGGAAATTACAAATTTGTTAGAAATCAACAACAGATATTCGATCCTGGGGACGCTGAACACGTACACATGGCACAAGAATACAGTCCGCAATGACTAGCGCAATGGCTCTGAGCCCGTGCCGCATCTTGGAAAATCCACCATCTTTAAACAAAGGCCTCCTCCTCTGGACAGTACGGGAAATTCTCATTTTATGGAAGGCCTTATGTGGAATCAAACAAAAGGAATGTGTTCTTTTAACTAGCAACGATCAAGTTTTTATGGTGTTAAATCTAGCTCCTGTGTCCTGAAATGAGAAAGGACACAATCGTCAATCGCAGATGAACAGGGCTCCGATGACCAAGCCATGCGTACCGCGTGCAGTGCTTCCAAGATGATTACGTCATTCGTTCGCTGAGTGTTTTTTAGAACAGAATTCATGTACGAACAAAATAAATATGCTCAAAATCGACCACTTATTTGGCATTTCATTCCCTAAAACATGTTCATTCTCCCTGAAGTGTAAATCGTCAAGCAGCCGTGTGCATTCACTTTGTGGTTATAATTTTCCACTATGACCTGAATCAATTTACAGATTACAAGGAAATAGTGGGCAGCGTGTAAATAAGAGCAACCAGGCGAAGAACGTGATGCCTAATACTGAAACCATCTTGATGACACCTATCAGGTATACTTCAGAATTGTTAGTGTATCACTTCAACTGTCTGATGTAGGATGGGTCTAGAAACTTTTCTCTTCATCGTAATGAGAGAGTTGAAAACATTTTAGCAGATGTTTTTAAAGTATTTTAATAGCTCAAAAAAATTATGAATGTGTGAAATATCATTCTGTAGGTCTTTTGCATTGTCACATCTCCCATCATAATCCTTGCGGTCCGCAAGATTGTTGATGTGAGACCGTTGGCGTGTAATCAGTTTAAGTATTTGTGACTGCGAAAGTTGAGCATTAGTCTGCTCGCTGCAGCCGTAGGTGTAACAGTTTCTGTTCTAGACAAAAAATACCGTAAAGAGTGTTTGGTTAGTTACATGTATTTTTAAGGAATTTAAAATGCCTTTCTTTTTACAATAGATGGTGTCACCTGCTTCTTGAGGGAAGTTTAATACTTTAATGAACGAATTAATTAAACAAAAGACTAAGTATTGATTTTAGAAACATGTTATTAAATTTTCCCACCCTGGACTTAAAACTAATATACACTACACCGGAAAAAGATCTTGTAAAATGTATGGCATCATTGCATAATAACCTTTTTCAAGAGATGATAAAAGCACTGTACAAAACCTTTTTATAAATGGACATGACGAAGTGAAGAATGCTTTAATCAAACGTGGATATTTCTGAGCCGTCTTAGTAGATTGTTTACATATATATCTATTCAAATATACCGGTGTACGGTGCTACTGTGTTCAGATTGAGTTTTAATTCATCAAACCTAATCCTCTGTCCAGCATCTTCTCACAGAAGTACGCTCCTCGTTACACTCCAAACGACACTGAGTTTCTAGGCCACCTTGGCGTCATTCATAAACAGACATGGAAATACAACAAGAGGAACGCCAAACAGTTCAGGTGAGAGAGTTTAAAAAAATAAATACCACTATGCCCAACCTTAACACTATGCCCAACCTTCTCACCGCGAACAGTCAATTTCTGCGACATAATTCTTTGAGGGCAACGGGAGACATTCGTGATTACACTATCACTGTGATCAATCATAATTATTGTCTCAGCCATCTCTAAAACTAATGAGCCTAACTTCCATAGCCAGGATGAAATCGTCTAGCTTGTATGATCATAATATGCCGAAGTATACTATGGAAGACACCGATTTGGCAACGATCACAAGATCAGCATGTGACAAATGCCAATATGTTCCCGTACCAGTATATAATTTGGCCACGACAAAAACAATTAAGCCAACAGCTCCTTCAAAAAGTAGGATTGTATAGTGCAGTCATTACAACAACAAAAACATAGAAATGCAGAGTTCGTTTTGTATTCAACAGAAATAATTAGAAACATTTCGTTCCTGGAATTCCTCAAAAGAATAAAAGCCTTCTCGACGCCCCCCACCAACAAATATAATTCCCTCACAGGCTATATGGATTTCCTTAAAAAAGTAAGATTCGGCAAAGTTTTAAGTTAGCTAACTTACAAACTGCGAAGGCATGAGTAAACAGAGAACGGGAGTACGCGGCATTATGAGAGTTGGAGAGTTGGTACGAGTTGTTTTAAAATCGCATTATCTGTCTGACTTGACTTCAATCACCTTGTACACAGAGGGCAAAATCAGACAAAACATACGGTAACTGAAAAGCGTAGGGCCTACGTGTGATTTGCATCAAAAATAATTTAGCAGGTCCTATTAAAAGATATCCCAGCTTTCTCATCAAAGTAGGCCTGCTCTTTCCCGTCAGGTAAGCGTGGGGAAATTCCCATTAGTTGTTACCGACGAACCATCATTGCGGTCGCTGGGAGCAATCCGTGGTTTGTTAGGCCATGTCCAAAACAGGCTAACAGAGCTACGGCTAGGTCTATTGTCTACGCGTCTCCCCACATTTCCAATGGGGGAAGACCTAGCTCTAGAAAAGAGATGCAGCCTTTGTGAGGGACCGATTCCAGTGTGCGACCAATGTCCGATCGATTAGCAACACCTGAGCGCGTATCCGGTTCGTAAGTAAACATCACTTCAGTTTAAACCACGCCCATTACACAGGCACTGCACATAGAGTTAAACTTCATTGATCACCGTTTACATGTGCGTGGAACCATGGAACCGGAAGTTAAGGTGCAACTTCAGTGATCATCCCATGGGAGCCTGCAAATCGTGGCACGTCCGCGTGTCTGACGAAGTCACTAACAAACCGGACAAGCTACGCGTCCCATTTCGGCGGAAAATCAACGGAGAGTCACAGGTTCACGAAATCATATGGAGTGCAAACAAATTATGCCGACACACACTCGGGTTCCGGAATTTTAGTCTCAGGGACAGGACATTTTTTATTAAGAGTAGGTAGTTTTAAACTTTTAAAGCTCTCATGATTTGTTAATCTGTTACTAGTGAAGCTGCCTGTAACCAGAAGGTATGGTTTGTATTTTTGTACAAGAGTTGAAACGTATTGAAAAGTTTGCTTACATTTTATCGAATTTTTTAACTGGTTTTATGGAATGCTGTTCCTGAATGGATTCTGGGTAGAGAAACACAAAGAATTATGCGTAGTCGCTTGGCTTGAGTATTGACCCCAGAAATTGACATCATTGATTTGATTCCTTTTAATCAATGGCATAAGCCGGAGGGGTATAGTCTGAATACCAAAGCCAGCAGAGGCTCCTGAATAAGCCTGATATAAAAGCACGAAAAATTTACTGTAATAGCTGATTTGATCAGCTTACCTGTAAACCCGGTCAGGTGGCCGTACTGAGCAGTGCTGATCGACTTTCAAACCATGGCCAGCCAGGTTGAATTGCAACAGAATCAAAATATCACTAGATGAAATTTTTTTTCAAAAACACTAGGTGATACTACGGGACATAATTTAGTTTTACGATAATTTTAATGAGACAATGTCAAGGAGAGACATTTCAAATAGAGCATTTGGCTGTGTGCATTGGTTTTGTAAGATGACATAATGAAAATCCGTGTCCACAAAATAAGGTAAAACAAAGAACCGATATAAAAGCAGTAACTAAAAGGGAATTCGGGCCAGACGGATTAAAAAATCAAAAGAAAATGTTCTATGTCTAGGAGTCATGACATAGAAATTTGTGGAATGAAAACTTGCAAATGATTCTAATTCTCTATAAATGTTTGGTAAAATATAGGTCCAACAACAGTATCTCCTCCACAAGTGCGTGAAGTTTCAAAACAATGACGAGGCTCAGTTTTCGCATAGAGAAAGAAAGTCTTTACAAAGTATCTAGATGGTTATCGACCATAAAAATGTAAATTTCATTTGTTTAATAGCAGTTTAGCGGGAAAGGTGTGGCATGCAACAGAACTGCAAGGCAACTTTTCTCTTCGTGTCTTACAGGGTCGACTTAAGGGCTGCCTTGGGTAACGAGGGTAAGCTCCAAAACTTCATCACGACGAGACAAAATACACAGATAGGACAAAAACTGAATTTCTATCGTCACCGGGCTTCCTCTACCGTGTCCAAGAGCTTCTGGAGACAGCTTCCAAAAGTAAGTCAATCACTTCGGGGAGTGATGGAAAGTGCAAAGGGCTAGATAATTTGAAGACATTGAGAAATAATTGTGATACAGAAAGGAGTAGACATCTGGACTGTAAGTGGATTGTACAAGCAAAATTGGGAAGGTGAAAGAAGATTGAAAGTGGATGATAGAATATTAGATTAAATGTTTTCTATTTTCTCATGAGCCGAATTTTGTTATTTAACCTGAACGCAGCAACATAATAGAAACGAGGAAACGACGCCCTGGCTACGTCGCTGTGGCCCGGCACAGCTGACTTGTCTTTTTCCTTTTAATCATTAATAATGTATATGCTGATGACCTTGTTAATATGTTTGCATGTATTTATTCAAGGCCCATAAAATCTGATCATTTGTATTATTTACTCGTTTTCCAACACATTTCAATGCCAATGCTAACATTTAAATCAGTCCACACAATTCAATTTGGCGGGATCAGTTTCAACGTTATACATAAAAAAAACCCCAAAAAGTCTTTTGACAGAACCAGATCTACCGCCATTTGAATCCTTTGCTAAGATGCAAAAAAATTAATATCGTTTGGCGTTTTAAAACAAGGCCTACCCGCCAGAGATAAATCCTTAGTCATCTTTATCAAGAAGTACTTTTGTGCCCTTCCTCCATGGTACATGCAAGTAACTGGAGTCCGGCTTATGTTGTATTCATTCGACTGCAGACTGTACTGTATAAACCTGGCCTGTACCGTAGCTGTAGTGTTGTAGGCTCAAGCGGTTTACTGAAAGGATCTTTATGTGGAAATCATATAGACAAGGCGGACTTCATCTTCAGGTAAAGAACCAAACATGACCAATATTGTGATGCGAATATTTATCAATTCGACGTGTTCAGTACGCATATACGTATTGTCTACCTTTAAACCGACAAATCTACACAACTACGTTGAAGAGTTAGGTGGTTTCCACCCAGCAAGTTCATTTGTGGCTGAGCATGACATACAAATATTGACTACTTCATATGGTAGTACAAAATTAGCCTCCCGAGATATTCTATGAAGTGTTCTTCTTTTCCTGATGTCAAGATTCTGCAACATTTAAGCAACGGTTCGACATCAAAATTAATGTTCTGTGCATACTATTTTGTCATCCGTATATGTAGAAATGTAGTGACAGTATCGATGAATTTGGTTTTATAAAAGGGCACCCGACTATTTGCGTCATCATCCCTTTTTCCAATTATACTTGTATACTTGAAACGTGACCCACCTACGTTCACACAATGCCCCGGTTTGCACGTCTGGGTGTAGCATTCGCGAGTGGTCTCGTTGTTTTGGGAGTGGCGATATATTTACAAGAACTAGCCAGTGCCGAGTGAAGGGCTCTTGGCATTTAAGGAACAGAATGTTGTAATGAAATGTACGATAATAGACTTCCTAAGTTTTTTGCTGATGACGAAATTTACTGGGCGCCTGAAATAGCGATAAGATTAGTGATGATTAGTGATGCCCCGTCGTTTAGAGCTCTGTACATTTGCCAGCGTTGTTTATTTGTCTTATCTTATTTATGCTCACAGATTTAACCTAGCCCCCATTAACGGCTTTAAGGACGACGTCGGCCGCAAAACAAATTTTACAACGCTCAACCCTTCATTTGTTAGGAAGAGGTACGTAGTTTACGTTTACGTAGTTTAGATCACAGAAGGAAAGCATTCTCATCCATCCGCCACCCCTTTCCTTTCTGTTCTGCCGGCTTTCGCCGACCGTCTTCCTATAGAGGCTTTTCGTGATAGCCATTTCGTAGGGCAGGTCTTCTGGTCCACAGGGAATCCTTATGTGTGCATGCCCTGTGGAACAAAAGTTCTGGCATGCAAGATGGCACATGCACTGAATGTTGCCCATTTGGGCTCTCATGCGCGCCACAATGAAATGATTTTACATGCATTTGGAAGGATCGTTTACACAATTAAACAAACAAACAAACAGTATTTAAATGTCTGTATCGAGGGAACAAATTTCAGGTGTGAAGAATATGACGTCACATAAGCAAGCCGTTCAAATATTGTCTGTGCTCTCGCAGATTTAATTGGTTGAAGACCCCAGAAAACTGTTCAAGATTTGGAGACCTTATGAAGCAGTTCAGAGGCAGCCACCTATGGCTGCCGGCATTTGCCCTCAGGTCAGCGCACACCCACCTCATGAAAGTAGCGCATATGGTCAGGAAAACCAAGGTAGCCACGCCCATCTTCGGACACCCGGACCACTACACCGCTGTGGGGAATCTGTGGGAAAGGACTTTGAACGGAACCAGGTGGACCACGACAGGTGAGACTCGGTGATTGGCTGTTTAAGCATTTCAAAGTAGTTTTTGAGCTGGGTTGTTATTGTCAGAGGAATGGGATTTTGTCAGCTGCTAATCCATAAATGGAACAAACAGCAAAAGCCACTGAGCTCAACGAGGTTTTGTTAGACCATAGAGGAAGTCCTTCCTCTACGGTTAGACCAAACGGCGCATTAAGCACCAATGACAGGATGAAGTGACAAGAAAACAATGAAGAAATAATGTTGAGTTTTAAAGGGGGAGGAAAATCGTGGATAAATGCCGTATATCGGGGACTGCAAATTCAATCCACATGCCAACTCAGCTGGGATTCGAACCCGGATCGCATTGGTGGAAGGCAAGGAGAGAAACTGACTCCCAAGGTTGGAATTATAAAGGAGGCAATGATGAAAGTAGATAGATGCCCTAATTAATCCACTTCTCTAAAACTTTCCCACAGCAGCCTCCCCTTCTTAAATTGTTCATTCCTCCGACCGGGACCAGGTCCTGGCAGGTCATATTCTCTCTTTGTTGGGCTTGTTTTGTATTACTGGAATGTAGGTTTCTCAGAATGATGTTTTTGTCTAAGAGTACCAAATCTCCCATTTGTCAAACAGGTCTTCACGTGCTTACATCAGTCTTCGACCTGTGTCACCGAATTGACGTCTTTGGGTTCTGGCCGTTTCCCAAATCACTCGCGGGTGAGGATGTCCCGTACCACTACCATGACAGCGTCTTAGGCGTCTTGAAATTTCACAGTTTTACAAAGGAATTCAGGGGTATAATGAAATTACACGAACTTGGCATCATCAATGTCCATCTTGGACCATGCACATGAAGGCACCATCATTCTGACTCAAGCTGGTGTCAGCATTTCTTTCGTATGTAACTGACCTTTCACTGGAATTAGGTAGAAGTACGTTCAAACGCTTTCCCATGAGGTAAAGATGTGAATCGTTCATTCTTAAAATGTTTGGGTACCCACCACTTTGTCAACACGTTTTGGAGCCTAAGAAGCAATAACACAAGTATAATCGTCCGATTCATGTATTTGTTAATTTGTTATTTTTTTCAAATCAGTATCTCGTCACTGCGAATTAGCCAACGTATTACCTGATTGATTTGCAGGATTTCAATTTAGGCAAACAGGCCTTTAGTCTCTTCATAGTATGACAGTTATACGATTATACTTCGAGTCTCAGTTGACCCCTTGAAACAAAATTGTATCATAGTGGAAATTATCAGACCGCCGTGATCAATTTATAGTTTGGTTAAACTCTATGAAAAAGAAAACTAGAGTATGTGGTGAGTCTTAAGGATGTGACGGACTAACTTTACCGAAGGAAGGGATCTATTTTTATAACGATATTTATTTCTCTGACGTATAAGCAGCTGAGAATGTCGAACACACGCTATGATTTTGTCGTTATAAGTAAGTGTACGAACGTCATAGCTGAAATGATCAGTTCCCTTCCCCCAAAGTAGTGGGCCATTTGGCTTGGTCGTTGCCATTATGTACAGTAAAAACAAAGAAGAAAAAAATGTTTATTTTGTCTATTTTGTTGTTTCTTTAAACTGACATACAGCACATGGCGCGAGCCAGTTGTAAATGGATACTTTGCATATTGGCAAGTATGATTTCTTAACATTCTTGCCTGGAAAAGGTAACGCTTTCGATTAATGATTATCCATTCTTATTATATTATTCAAGAGCATACGAATTTTTAGACCCCCCCCCACCCCGCGGGAAGAGCACAAAAGAAAAATGACTCTGGCCATTCGCCCACCTGCGTTAATACATTTGTGAAAATGATAGGAATGCCTGACCCCTCGTGAACATCTCTAAGAACACAAGGGTGGATACATGGGGGGACCAACGGGGCCATACCCCCCCCCAAAAAAATGAGGATTTCTTTTCGATCAGTCAGCGTGAAGATACTTATTGTCGTAATCGGAGGTTTTTTTGCATGGACCAAGTGATTTGGTTCATGGAAGCTGTTTCTGCGCAGCTGCTTAATTGTGACTGAAGCTCTCACTTACTGCAACCATATGCAGCAAGGTATGAGACGGAGAGAACCCCCCCCTGCTTTGTGTTGGTCATTGTCTCGCAGGAACCTGGAGAATTCCATTCAGATATCTTGGGGGGATGTGTTAAGTAACAATAGTCTGGAACGTGTATAGGGATTGGACATGTTGGGGGGGGTACCCCTCGGTCTCATTTCTTGCTGGGTATAACTGCAACAATGCGCCAGGGACGCTGCTTAGGTTGCTTGTCCAAGAGGCTTTTGGCGCACCATANGCGCACAGCGAACTTGTACAAGTAGTCTGGTGTCCATATTGACGTATAGAGCAAAGCAATCAAGACGTAAACTTCAACACAGACAATTGTCAAACGGAAGTATCGCCGATAACCCAGGCATTACACAAACAAGCCCTAGAAGTATCTGCAAAGTGATGAGCTCTGCTACGTCTGCATTACTACCCGGTGTGCATTATGTGAAGGTGGCTCAATACTAGTGACATATTCTGGATTGCGCGCTGGCTGGGCGACTCATCAATCAGACCGTGTGTCCAACACGGAATTCAATGATGTCTGAATAGTGTTTGATCTGCCCAGTTAGTCCAATTAATGTTCGTTTTCTTTTATGTTTCACATTTTGGGTGGTCTAACTGGAAGTCATATTGTGAAACAAAAAACAAGTTTTCCTTAACTCATGGCAGGAAATCTTCATGAAACACGCAGAACATTTACACCAAGAACGTCATCCACTCATTTTTGCCACAAACGGGGCTTGCTGTTTTGATAGTAATTATTTTAAGGCTACTGCTTTTCACTCGCTCAAAGTTCGAGACTTTTCTCCCGATGTACATGTGTTCTTAGTATTAATCATAAAATATCCATTCAGTCCTCCATCTTCATGTTCAGCATAATTTTTTCCGTTCATTGTTAAACATCTTGCCTTAATACACGTAGCTTAGAACACATTTTTTAGGGGGAAAAGAGCAAAATAATAACCTGTTTGCCTTATCCGTTATTTTTGGTAAAGGACCTGCCCTCCCCGCCCCCCAGAAAAAATGGGGTCTGGATCCACCCTTCTAGATCATTCCTGCGCAATTTTGTTCGTGTTTCCTTGTGCATTTATTCCTATGGTTTTCTTCTTTTTTTTTTCTTTTTTTTTCACTGGAAAATCAAATCAAACGAATCGTGAAGCACACTCCATGGAAGAGATGGATTTGAACGGGAGTATCTTGAAATCTTTCGTTGGTTGATCAAACTGAATTTTGGATTGAATTCATTCATCCAGGGTTTGGGTTCAGCCAGTGAGAGTAAAATGGGTTTTTTTGTCATACCTAAAGAACCCCTCCCCCAGAAAGGCGGTAGTACCGTTTGTTAAGAGTTACCCTTTCAGATCCATAATTGTGAGCGCCAGGTTTCTGACAAGCTTCATTCCCTTCGTGATGAATGGCAGTAGTTGCCATGTGTCGGCTGATAAAGGCCTATCTACTGCAAAAGTACAGGAAAACTGTGGAGTTGTTTATGTGTAGAACCGTACCTTTAACCTTAACCTTGGGGAGGACGGTCGGGTGCACGGGGCGGCCGGAGGTCGTGATCGCGAATGTCTCCCCCCGCACCCTTGACATTTTGTAATGTACACAAGCCACTGTTTATTAGCTTTTGGTGTCCCCTGGAAAAGATTGTTCCATATAAATTTCTCCTATATAGTGAAACAAAATTGGCAACTCACAAACAACTGGCAACTCGCCTATGGCCGAGGCAAGGAGGTGTGTCGTAAAAAGTACACCAGTGGGCGTCTGCTCGCACAAGAAGCCGCACAAGTTAGATGAACTGCGCATGCTATAATGATGGAGCACGTGGGAAACAAGTTGGAAAAAGAAATAGGACAGAGAATTAGCTGGTTGAGGTAAAATTGTGAACCAAGATGCCAAGTGTATCTGTGACTATCACCATTGTTCTGTTTTTTATGCTTTCACACAGCGTTTCATATTTATTCATATACCTTTCATAGTCCGGTCGTTTGCTTAATAAATTGGCTAGTTGCTAATTGAATGCTTGATTGAATAGTTAATTGAATGTCTAATTAAATGGATGTTTGATGCTTAGGCCTACTCTTCCCAACCTGACCATGCAAGAGCTCACTGTAGGCAATCAAGTCATGTAGGATCGACCTAATAGTGCATCTAATTTTCCGGTTGTACGCGCCCAAACCTTTTCTTCAGTGAGAGAACTCTATAATCATGCCCTCAACATTGCATGCCTTCGACGGTATATACTTTCATCCTGGGGTTGATCGTGGAACCTAGGGCAGCCTCTTTTATATTTGTGGTTCTCATACCTTTTTGAACTTGAGGGATCGAGGGTCAGTCGGTCGAAAACACAATAAAATTCTTACCAAAAAATCCATGCTGCTGCCATATAGATATATGACTGAATAAACCAGGCAAAATGTACCGTGTATTGTCGCTTTGTACCATGAGTGTCTCCGTTTCTAGCCGAGATTCTGTTTATTGGTACACAACACAGTTGGAGTCATTGTCAAGACGTTGGGTGTGCTGTGTGTATAGTGTACTGTACTGTACATGGTGCATGTACAGTATATTTCAGTTTTAAAGGGCGCTCCGTATAAGTTATGTAGTGCATCGAGTGCAGAACGGTACCGCTCGGTCTGGTAGTGATTTGTCGCTGTATTGATGTTTGGGCGAAATCGTCTCGCACATGTATACTCTCATTACTGTTTTTGTACGGGTCATCACAACCTACATTTTTGTAGGCAAGGATTTCTCAGCAGGGTCGGTAGAAAAAGCTTTTTCTTCGATTTTAAAATGGTGCCCTAGCTTCTTGGCCAAAACTTCTCCAGTTTCTGGTCAGGGGTTGGCTCCAAAAGTGGTGCGGCGACGCATTTTTTCCCTCACTTTTTTTCCCTAGAAATGAGACTGCATGCGCATACGTACCGCCACTTCCAACACTGAAATAGACTGGCCCCCTCACTATTTACTGTTTATAAGTGTTTTCCGCTTGTACATATACACAAGACATAAGACCACCTAGTTTGTCCTGTTCCCAGATGTAAATGTATGATTAAGAAATGACCTCATCTGAAAAAGAGTGCCCGACTAAATGTGTGGGGGCATAGAGAGACTCCTTTACTGTACATATTATTAACAGTACCTAATCTAAAACCCGTTCATTAGGCGCGAGCTACAATATCTAGAGCAACTGTGAAACATGAGGGGCCTAAGCTGTGGAATTCAGTGGACATATCCGTGAAAAATATTGCCAGTCTTTCTGTCTTCAAGCGTAAATGTGTGTATACTACTTCCTACCGTCGTTTAATAGCTTTGTCTTGTAACTGTGACATGTATTTCATATATAAATATAACTGGGGCCTCTGCTCGACAAGTCAGTGCTTTTTTGCGGCCTCCATCCGCGATAGCACTGTATTGTTAATATCAGATGTTTCATACGGAAAATAAAGTGAAAGTGAAGGGGAAAATGAAGTGAAAGCACAGTGCTGTCTCGTTTAATTTAAGAGGGAAAGTGAGACACTCATAGATGCCTGTTATCAAAGACAATGCCCCCTGAAAAAGAATCTATCGGTATTTTGCCGTTTGACAGATTCACTGCAACAATCCAATACTGAACGTTTTTGTTGCTGGGTATAATTTTCATCATAAAAAAAAGAGTATAACAGGTAATGTTTTATAACATTTCCAGGTGTATAAATGTTCGTTCACAAGTTATTGGATTTGTTCATCAGGTCAAGGTGGTGATGGTTCGCATGCTGCGAACTGACTATTGCTTAGTGACATGTGCAGAAACAGAGGTAATTTTAATCTTCATCTTTATGATTGTTTTGAGAATTACTTCATGATCATCTTGTTTTTCCCTTTGGATTTCAATGTGATTTCAGTGGCGTAACTACGGAGGAAGGCATGCACCGGCAATGCACCCCCCCCAGTGAATCTCTGAATTGTCTCCACAGAGTTTATAAAGCTACATGTATGTATGCAGCTGCAGTTTCTGTTTGGGTGGTGTATTAAATTGAAGTGATTGCCATTAATCTAGCTTTGCTTAGCAAACTCCCAATATCCCCTTAACAAGTAAATGACAGTCTTGATTTGGTTTTTGGCTAATTAAGTCATTCTTCAAATGTTATACTGGTGACATCATCCTAGACAATACAGAACCGGATATGAAACCCTCTAAATAACGTAATACAGGGTGGCTCGAAATAGTTTCCTTGTGGGAAACCAGCAAACAAGGTTTGGTGGGACAGTTGGCATTTTTGTTTCCGTTTAACACAAATGATCTCACAATGAAGTGCGTATATGTGTCGAAAGCTTGAATTTGAATAATGATGAATTTCCACACGCCGTTAACAGCTTTGCCTTTGCCTTTAGACCTCTTCCACCCACGTGACTGGATTGTGCGAAATGTACGTGTGGACCGCCTTGGCCACGGTGATTGCATACATTCCTACGGGCAGCTTCAACCACGTGCAAGTCCACGTGCGAACGCCGCATGCTTGACTACTTTATCCTGAATAAGTAGATTACTATCGCAATACTATGCACTTATTACCATCACAACACGTTGCAGTCCAGCACGATTGTGACATCACAGGAAAAAAGGTCTATTCCCTAGAGGTTGATAGAAAATCCGAAAAAAGTGC